AGCCAATGAGAGCCAGCCTCGAGACTTTGGCTGCAGCTCTGAGCAAAGGGGCCTGCACTTTGGCTATCTGGGGCAGGGGCCAAGAGATCGTCAGACCTATCATGCTAGGGACCATGGGCACTTTTAGGAACCCACAAAAATGCTTAATTTATTTTAAAATCAGAATAAAAAATTAATATGTATTCTAGCTTGTATATTTGTCTTTATACCAACACAGCTGTAAAACATTATTTTAAATATTTTGTGTGTATGTGCCTCCAGCCCACACTAGGGCTAATGGGGACCCTGCTGGCACCGGTCTGAGGGAGGTGCCTGGGGGACCCCAGTAGTTTTAATCATCCCGTTTCCTCCTTCCCCAGGACAAGGTAGAGGGAAGGGACAGGCTGATGGTGGGCACGTATGAGTTCTCTCCCATACATCGATGGCCGCCCTGGGACCTACCTTGCTTGTCCCCTGTGAGTACCCACACTTTGATTTTCCCTTGCTTGAGACACTGGATGGTTTCAGGGACGCCATCCTGGAGCCTGTCTTCAATGGCTGTGACTCCCAGCAGCTGGAAGGGGGTGGGGGAGCCGGGAACAGACTGAGCAGGGACCCAGCAAACCCTGGCATGAGTAGGAGATCCATGGTCTCATAGCCAGGGTGCTGAAGCCCCCTCACCTCCTGTGCATGCCCACCTGGAGGTTCTGCTCCATTTCCTCGTACACTTGGTGCAGGGCTTGGGCCCGGTTCTGAAGAAGGATGCTGGCTTCCTGGTGCCGCTGGCGCCACTCCTCATACTCATCCTCATCCACCTTCTTGTAGGCCAGGCACAGTGTGCGCAGGGTCTGCTCAGCAAAGGACTGGGAGCCGGCCAGGCGGGCAGGTGCCACCCTGTCACCACTCTGCCTCCCTGGGCACTTCTCCAGCCACCACTCCCCTCAGCCCCTTCTCCCTCTGCCTAGGCCCCCTGAACCTCGCCTGCACTTCTCCAGTTCTTAGAGACTAGCTGCCTGCCCCAGATTCCCCCCCCCCTGACAGAGCAAGGCACTCTGAGAAGTCCTGAATGAGGGGCCCAGGACATTCTTTGCACAAACACCCCCCTTGCTCCTGTGCTGGGTGATGCTGGGGAACCAGCAAAGCTCTTGGGCAACCCCAAAGGGTCAGGAGGGAAAGTCTCTCTGGAGGTGGCAGAACCCTGAGGACCAAAAGATCCTGAGTTACAGAGTAAAGGAAAGCATCCAAGCAGAGGGAACAGTGTGTGCAAAGTTCCTGGGGCATCACCTGAGCATGGAGAATACTGCAAAACAGAAACTGGGGTCCTGAGGAATGCCCTGGGGGCAAGGAGAGCCAGTCTAGAGAGCCAGCAGGAGACACAAAGACAGTTTGAAATCTTGGCTGAGAAGTTTGGGCTTCACACACAGACAAAAGATTTGGGGCTGAGTGTGTCCCAGAACCCAGGCCTGACTGGAAGAGGTTTGGGGGTGGGGGGAGCATCCAGGTTCAAAGGCTAAACACAGAGGGTATCTTGTGTCACTTAGGAAAAAAATGCCCCCTCTGTGCAGGTATAGCATGGAGTTCAGCTTTCCCTTGCCCATGTGTGTAGGGGGAAGGGCACAGCCTGGTCAACTGTACATGACTACCCTGTGTACCTGAGGCCATTTCTCTGCATAGCCTCTTCCCCTACCCTTCCTCCCTCTATCTTCCCTCCCTCTACCCCCTTACCCACTCTCCCTCCCTTCCCATGGGACTCACAGTTAAGGCCTGTTCTGTGGCCACGATCATGGTCTGCTCTTTTTTATACACGTCTTTCTTACGCAAGCATTCAAAGAGGACAGTGTCTGCGCCTTTGGTGTAGAGGTAAATGGAGCCCTCGGGGTTTCGGACTGTGGAGGGAGAGGCTTGGCTGCCCATAAGCGCTCCCCTTCCTACCCATCTCCATCCCTGGGCCTAGGGTGCTCACCCAGCACGGACATCCGTTTTCGGACACTGTTGAAGTCCATCATGGCCAGGACCTGGTACACCCGCTCCTCCCCGAGCTCCATCACCGTGATGCTGTCCTGTGTGCGTGCCAGGAACACGTAGCCATAATTCCGGGCCGCTGAGACCAATGCCTCCTCGTCAGGGGAAGCTGCCTGGTACAACAGTTGGTCTGACAGGGGAGAGGACCATGGGAGTGGGATGGGGGAATGGCACATTCACTAACAACTTGCTTTCTTTTTTGAGGAATCACCACCCATCTCTGATGCCCAGGGGAGGAAATGGACACAGTGTGTGCTCATCAGATAATGATAAGACAGTGGTCTCTTGGGCCAGTACAACCTCTAAGCTGATGGGCACTTGGGTCCCAGTCTAGATGCCCCCCCCCCCCAGTAACAGATCTTGAGCCCCAGGCCTGAACATCTTCTAAGCTGGATGACAGGAGCCCTGGGGGTTGGGATGGACTACTCAAAGGCCAGAAAACCACCTCAGAAGCCTCAGGGTCTGGGCAGCCAGTGAAGCACTCACTGTCTTTCTCTTCCACCATCACCGTGTGGCAGATGGCCAGCAGGCGCCAGAACTCCTGCACCATCTTGTCCTTGTTGCTGCGCACAATGCTCACGAGTCTTGTGTTTTTGAAGAGCAGCTTCCCATCGGCAAATTTGTTCCAGAGGAAGGGGTTCCCTTCACATAGGGCTTCCTCCTCGTCCTGTTCGTAGACAATGCCGCTGATGCAGCACTTCTTGAAAGTCATGATGTTCTGTGTGAGCGTACCAGTCTTGTCTGAGAAGATGTACTCTACCTGGCCCAGCTGGACATTGAGGCTGGTGCTTCGGGCTTTGGCAGGTATGCCCTGGGGCTCGTAGTACATCTCCACATCCCAGTCAATGAAAATACTGTTCCCCAGGTAGATGAATTCAGCTCTGTAAACACATACTGGGTCATGCCCTGTCATGAACCACCAGAGCTCCCACTTCTCTCCAGCTGGGTAGTAGGTGGGGAGGAGGCTCTGGGACTCACATGATGAACATGGCCAGGGGCATCATGACACTGAGCAGGATGAGAAAGCTCAAGAACATGAAGAAAGACTCGCTGGTCATTCTGTACATGTGCGTCTCAAGGACATAGTCGTGCTTCTTGAATTCCGTCACCTTGCTCCAGAAGCCAAAGGTCAAAGCTATGGAGGTCAGCACCACGCATATGAAGATCTGTTCAGAGAACAGGAGACAGTGGAGCATGTGGAGGGACCCAGGGCAGTACAGAGACACCATAGTGTAAAAGACAAACAGAAGATGAGAAGCCCCCCTTACTCAAGCTCTGACATCAGGATGGGGGGAGCGGGGCTGAGAGGTGGTGGCTGGCAGTGCCCGGGGAGGGGACTTGCAGGGATTTTGTTGGGTTTTGTGGCTGCTATTATAAAAATTATTACAATGACTTTTATTTAAAAAGACAGTTGATTAGGCAAAAAGTTGAGAATTGTTAAATAAATATCAATGGAGGGTAGATGAGCATTTTTATTATCTCTTGTGGGTTTGGAAAAATGTGAGGATTGAGACAGTTTTTTAATATTGTGATTATAAGAAGATTCGCTGGCTCACAGATGTCTGTCTGCAGGATCAGGCTGCACATATTTTGCCGAGCAAGGAAACTGGGGCCTGAAAAATGACAGCCGGGGCTTCTGTCTATGGGAGGAAAGGGCCCTTTCCCTTCCCTCTTCTGTGTCCCCCTCCACCTCCACCCCAGGGAAGCTCACCAGGATCACCAGCCTGTTCATCATATTGTCTATCTTGGTTTTCTTCAGATGGACCTTGCCACAGTTCTTCATGATCTTTGTGTCAACACCTGCAGTTTGCATCAGTCAGTCCACCTGCCCATTCATCCATCTCATCCTACATCTGTTACCCCACCCCTCTACTCATTCAACCACTTACCTGCCTAGCCACTCATCCATCTATATACAAGGGTGCTGGCTCAATATATTTATTTCCAGTTTTAGAACCCAAGGTTCTATAGAAACTGTGCCAGGAGCCCCACATCTTTTGGCAGCCAGGCCCTGGCCTTGTAACCTCCTGCCAACAACTTCAGGGTTCTCACTCACCCCTACCATGACAGCTCATGCTACAGAGGCCCCAGAGTAGCCATACCAGCATAGATGACCATTCCGTAGCAAGTATCTGTGTTTCGAATCTTGCAGCCACGTAGAAGGATGTTGCCACTGTCCAAGGGGTATTTCTTGCCCTCCCACTCCAGGCGTCCCGTAAAGTAGTGCATCCGACTGTTGGGTTCTTCACACACCACCGTGCCTGTGGGAAACAGAGCAATCAGGCAGCTGAGGGGTATGGCTGGGGTCGGGCCATGCCTCTCCAATGGAGAGTGAGGCAGGGTGTGGGGAATACTCCCCATCACCTTCTGGCTCCAGCCACCCTCACACTGCCCCGAACTTGCCCCACTAGCACCTCCACCCCCTGACATGCAGCCTCCTCTCCTGGATGCTCCAAAAGCTGGTTCTGTTAAACTTCAGGGCCTTTGTGCATGCTGTCCCTTGTGCCAGAACTCACACCTTCTCAAGGAAACCCTCTCTTCCGACCCTCCAGCCAGCTCAGATCCTCCCCACCAAGCCCCCTTCCTCCTGGTTACAATCCTGGGAGGTCACTAAACATTTATTCCTGCCAGTGGTGTCTTGAAGGCCTGAGAGTTCCATGAGAAGAGGTGCCAGCCTCGTCTCCGTCATGCTGGGGACCTTGGGACCCAGCCCAGAACCTGGCATATAGTGCCTGTCATTTCCTCAGATAATATGAAAACAAATGTAACCAGTGCTTGAATGTCAGGAGCAAAAGGTCTGTGGTTCAAGAGAAAGATTCTGCTCCGGCACCAATTAGAGTAACTTGTCTTTGCAACAGGACAGGGAAAAAATAATGTATCTTTTTGTTGGGCCTTGGGCAAGCAGTACTTATAAGCCCACAGGTGTGAAATGTCTCACTTTTCAGGTGGGGAACAAATATATACTGTGATGGATGAGTCGGTTCCCTGTCTCTGTAGACACAACAGGCTGCTTTTTTGGTTAAACAGTGAAAAACATTTGATTAACGTGATCGTTTTAAAAAGAAAATGTCTGATAAAATAGTGCAACATGTTCTTTAATAACAGAAAACTCCCCGACTATTCCATGGATTCAAAGGACATGAAACAGGCTTGGGATAAGCTGGCCTGTTAAAAGCTATTTCACCCCACTCCAGCAAACCCCATCACCATCCTCCAAAGCCCAGTGAGGTGCGGAACTTTCATGCTCACTGTGCAGAGGGGCAGACAACGGCTCAAATGGGGTGGATGGTGGATGAACTGCCACATCTCACCTTGGAAGGAAGCCATGCTCTTTACATTTTTCAGCTCACGATGCGTCATTATCAGGGCCTGCCTGTACTTCAAGTTGGTCTCTCTGGTGAAAGAAGGGGAGCTAGGTAAGAAGTGAGGACAGACAGCATTCAGGCAAGGCAACCCTAGCCCCTTTCAAGAGTCACTCAAATATGTTCACTGAGCCCCCACTGTTTGCGCCAGCTGCCAACCACGACGCCGAGGCCCAGAGTGGGAGAAGGGCTTGCCCAAGGTCACACAGGACATTTTCAAAATGGCTGAGGGCAAACCCCAGGCCTTCTTTTGGGCAGGTGCACCTGGAGCACAGTATGGCTTCCAGAAATGTTGATACAAAGAAGGCGAGTCCCTTCATCTGATTTAATGTTATTGCCCCCTGCCAGCTTGCAGGTGCCCCATAAGTGCTCCCAGAATGAATGACCTAAATATCCCATTGGGCTTGGGAAGCCACATTTTGTGGCCGTTGGGGAATGGGGAAGACCTCACTGGCTCCCAGATCCCTAGTGATGACCTGAGTCTCACCCATCAATGTCAGCTGTCTCCACATAGCACAGGCTGTTGGGCTCCGTGCTGGACAGCAAGAGCACATCGGCCTGGGATGGGGAGAGTGGGGATGGGAGGAAGGAAACATCATTGCAGGGGAAGACAGGAGGAAGAGAAGTGGGATGGCAGCCCCAACCCCCAGGAGTGGAGAGTTCTGGGCCTGGCTCACACCAGCTCACCGGGACAATATTGTCTCCATGCAGACAGACCAGGTCCCCCACACAAAGGTCCTTCCATTTTTTACACAGAAAGCTGTGGGAGGAGGGTGGCAGGTGTGAGAGGGGGCCCCAAATAGGCCCATCTTTGGAATCCTTGGCCTCCGTGCCACCCCTAAGCTGGAGGAACTGTATGAGGTGGGGGCTGCAGATGCCCGTGGTGATTTGCTTCCTTGCGTGCCCACCTGCATGTCTTTGGGGGGGGAATGGGTCTCAGCCCACTCAGGAAGTCCAACCTTCCCTAACCTTGCCCCCTCCTTCCAGTTCTGTATCCAAGCCTCTTCAGACCTTCTCTGCCTCCCTTTCCAACTGAACTCTTAGGCCTGCCAGGTTAACAATCAGGTCCTCAGCCTTTGTCCCCCATCACAGGGCACACCCCCAGGCCTGGTAGACAGCAGGCATCTAATAAGTAATGGCTAGGTCCCTGTCAGACATCAGACTCAACCAAGATGTCTGGGGGTATGGAAGGTTCCGGGCACTCTGCTGGGCACCCCTCCCTAATATGATCCCCCCAAAACACACACACAGCTGTGCTGGATGAACGTCCCTACACAGTGCCAGAGGCCTCACCTCTCTCCCACCAGCATCTTGCAGGGCCTGTTGTTGATGGTCCTGTCACTCCTATGTCGCCCCTGAGTCAAAAAGGGTGGGTCAGAGGGGTGGCCCCACTCTAGCCATGCCCCTTACATCATGCCCCCAAACAGCCCTGGTGAGGGCCCAGGAATAAAGCACAGATCCAGCTAATACATGTTTGCTCAGATAGTGAGCCCATGCCAGATATATCTGTCCAGGGATCCTGGTGGGGGAAGGGAGGGACAATGGCTATTAGCAGCAAGGGCCAAAGGGCCATGAGGCACCTGCACCTATCCCTTGTGGCAGCAAGACAAGGACCCCACCCTGCCACCAATTCCCTCCCCAGCTGTCCCTCAACCCCACTTACAATGTCATCTACCAGGTCTCTGGTGGCCCGGATGGCAAGGAGGCAGATGAGTGGGGCAAAGAGGGCGAACCAGGGCATCGTGGCGATCTCAGGAAATGCGGCCTGACACACAGAGTGGGTCACACCGATCCACCATCCCTGGACAATCCCCACAACTGCCTCCCCCTGCCCTCCCATGCAGCCCCTCAACCTGGCATCCTGTGTCCCACCTGCCAATATCACCTGGGCCTGGGGCCAGCCACCTCTCCCCAACAAACCTTGGAACAACTTCTCTATTTCCACTCACAAGAACCTGCTCCCAACTCTTCTTTCCTCCTCACCCTTTGGGGTCAATTCACTGGACTAGGGCCAAGGGGGTCATATGAACAAGGCCGTCCATCTTGGGGAGGAGCTGCACCCTCTTTGGACCTGGAGGATCCACTCATGCACCTTCATCATTGAACACATATTGATCACCTCTTGTGTGCCAGGCCCTGGGCTGAGCAGTGAGGGACGCAACCATGAGGGTGCTCCCAGTGTGTGAGGAGCCAGACACTGCTCCCCCTGCTTCCCCCACCCATCCAACCAAACCACACAGATAAACCCTTTTACACCTCCCATGTATCTACAGAGCCATGTGTCAAAGGTAGTCAGGGAGGAGGTGATTAGACTATGGGGAAGGAACGGTGTGCGCACAGGTGCTGACTCCTGGGGCCACCCCAACCCTGTCCTACCTGGAGAATGATGACAAGAAGGAAGTAGGTGTTGGACATTCGGTGGAACTGCTCGTAAAGGTTTAAAGGCAGGAAAGAGAAGAAGTTGTACTTGGTGGTGTGGATGATGTTGCTCTGGAATGAGAGCCAGTGTGGGGGTGCTGCCCAGGCCAGGGCCCCACTTTGGCCTCACCCTGCCCTTTGACCATATCAACAACAATTGAGCACCCAGTGCATATAAAGCCTCAAGCTAGCTCTACTAAAAGCGAGCTGAATACAAAGCCCTCAGGCCAGCATTTATTGAGTGCCAACTGAGTGTAAAGCCTTTAGTCAGCATTAATTGAGCTCCTACTGGATGCAAAGATTCACTGAACAAGGCTGTTACCCAATATTTCACAAAGTGAGTTACACACACAGGAGATTTTTATGTAGATCCTGAAGTACTTTGAAGGTTTAGTATTAACTTATTTTAATGTGAACTGGGG